GTCCCAAAAAGATCAGCCTGTAGCATGATTATTGTCACACAGTCCCAAAAGAGTCGCTCAGTCCAGCACTTTCAAGCAGACAATGAGCAGTTTGGTGACATGGAGGTGATTGGTGTCACAAAGGTGTAGGTGCAATCTGCACACTAGGCTTGTGCAGCCAGTGCCAAGGAAGGTGATGTTCTGAATCGTTACAGCCGTTTATGGGAGAAGTACAGCCTATGGATTAGAGGAGTACAGTTAGTTCTGCACTCCTGTGCCACGTTTTCAGCCTACAGCAGGCTGAAGCACGCTGTCGGCTGATGTCACAGACCCGCTCCAGGCTCTGAAAAGATCCAAACCATATGGTTGGGATCCACTCAGAACCCTGGACCAGAAGCTGACTCAGCCTCTCAGTGAGCCGCTGAGAGCCTGAGCCAGCAGCTCCCTCCCCTCCAAAACTCAGCACACCAGTGAGAGCGGGAGCAAAGCAGAAAGCTAGAGGCTGACAATCTCTGGTTCTCTGCTCACAGAATGCTGAGAACTGAGCGATCAGCTGTCTTTGATTGCTCAGTTCTCAGTGCAAAGCTGGCAGGAACAGATGCTGCATCCACCTAGGCGAGTATCTTTTTTTTCCCCCTAAAACCAAACTTGTCTTTTAAACGGTTTCTAGTTTGGATGCAGTGAGGAAGGATCAGAACTCCCGTTGGGTGTTTACAGCTAGCTGGGGACTCCATTAGTGAAATTTCCCTTCACTTCTTGTTCTGCTGACAATGGTTCCACCAATTAGGAAGTGAGGGAAAATCTGCAACAGGGACAAAGACAGAAATAAAATGTGACTTGCTAGCCTTCCACCCCTCTACTAGAGAAGCAGATTTATTTCTGTCTGTGTTGCTGTAGATGAGTTCACCTTATTTCATGTCTGGTAAACAAGAAAAAAAAAAAAAAAAATCAGGACAGAAAGTGATGAGAACCTTCCCCACTCTATACAAAGCTAAGAAAATACGATTTTTTTGTACTCACTGTAAAATACTTCTTTGCGCTCACTGGAAGACACAGCTTCTACTTTAAATCATCACCTTCCACAGGTGTCACTATACCCCATAGGTAATCATAGGTAATCATCTAAAGCAGAAGCAGTGTCCTGCAATGAGTAGAAGCATGAAAAAAAAAAAATAGTTTTTGGGTTGAAGATACCCTTTAAGGGTTCGTCTTCGGTCACACCAAATCCGACTTTGAAATCATGAGACTTCACAATGTGTGACTTGGAAGGCGTCTGTGCGACTTCATGCACAGATGTCTATGCAAGTCGCACCTGAACTGGCAATTAGTAGTACATGAAATACTTTTAAAATCAGTGCGATGCTGACGGGAGTCGAAATCACACTGATATGACCGCTTCCCACTGCAGAAAATATGGTGCAAATTGTCATGCAATTCGAAACTAACAAATCGGATGACAATTTGCATCGGTGTGACCAGAGACTAAAAGTTTTCATGGAAAGAAGTCACTTGGAGAGGAGGGAAATTTTTGTCAAAAAAAAAAAAAAAAAACAGAGCTGCAATTTGGCAGCTAAATACAATAAACAAACATAAATATAATATATACAAGGTAATTGTTTTACCTGTCAAACAACTTCTGTAATTCTGTTCAGCCAGTCTTTTAAACCATACCTCATAACCAGGCAGGTGTAAATTGTGTTTTTTTTTTTTTTTTTTTTAGTAAGCTAAGATTTGCAGCTTCCCTTGTCACTTTTGTACCCCCAACCTGCTTATGAACAGAAAGGAGACTTGGGAAGCAACAGAATTAAACATTATTCATCTAGCTCTGCATTCTGGTAGACATATGGATCACAAAACTGGCTGAACAGATTTACCAACCCCTTTTCAGGTAATCAAGAATTTAGCTATTTGCCAGGAAGCTGTAAGTTAGTAGCCTGGCTGTAATGCGGTTTCTTCTGCATCAATGCATTCTGAGACACTGACCAGGATCAAGCACACAGCCAGTAAAGTCAGGCTTGAAGTCAGATCTTCTGATCTAGATTGGAAAACAGTAGAGGACAGAGTACCCTCAGAAACCAGTAGTTTAAAAGAGAACCAACAGCGGTATAAATAAAACCAATAGCTTTATTATATTAAAGAAAAATTTGGTAATAGACCTAATTAGGTCAAAGGATCCTCCATTCACATCAATAAAATGGAGAACGTTATCACTTTAAAATGGCCCGGGCCACACTTACTCAGAATATAACATAGTAATACTACTTTACGTCTTATGTGAGCATAATATGGGGGTCAATAGGTCAGAGTCTTGCAGAGTGAACTAGCCACTTGGTCAGTGTATCAAAACCCAAAACTCTGAAACCACTCTCCAAGGACAAGGTCCACCATGGATCCAGGACACTTGTAAATGAACAAACAATTGTGGCAATTTACTCACTGAGTTGACCCAATATTAACCGCAGGTTAACAGTTCATCATACAATATTGACATTACTACCCATTGATGTCTATTGAAGCTGGACGCTTTAATTGTCTTTAATCCACTTGTGGCTAAATTAAGTGGATTTCTCTGAATGAACATACCACCAAATTACAATTTTTTGTGACTGCCATTCCCTATAAGGAAAGTTAATGTGTCAACCTATGTAGTAATTACTGTGAGGTGTCATATTGATGTGGCTAATACTAACAATTTTTGTGACTGCCATTTTATATGGGAGGTAAACTGTTAACCTGTGGGTTAATATTGGGTCAACTCAATGAGTAAATTGCCCCAATTTTTTGTTCATTTACAAGTGTCCTGGAGCCATGGTGGACCTTGTCCTTGTTGGAGAGTGGGGTCTTGGGTTTTGATACACTGACCAAGTGGCTAGTTCACTATGCAAAACTCTGACCTACTGACCCCCCATATTATGCTCACATAAGACGTAAAGTAGTAGTACTATGTTATATTCTGAGTAAGTGTGGCCCGGGTCATTTTAAAGTGATAACGTTATCCATTTTATTGATGTGAATGGAGGATCCTTTGACCTAATTAGGTCTATTACCAAATTTTTGTGAAGTATAATAAAGCTATTGGTTTTATTTACACCGCTGTTGGTTCTCTTTTAAACTACTGGTTTCTGAGGGTACTCTATGGCCTCTACTGTTTTCCAATGTGTGTTGCGTTTCTTGAGGACCCCACCTTAATTTGCTCAAGGTGAGTCAGTGAATACCATAGCACTGAACCTGAGGGCTCCCTAATTAGGGAGTGGTAATAATAATAAAACATGTAATATGTAGGTTTTATCTTTTGAGTATACGTCTGATGTAGATGCTTATTCCAGGTCAGTGGCAAAAAGACCTGGAAAAAAATATGGGTGTGACAGCCAGCCAACTAGTATTTTCAGAGAAAAATGGAATGGCAGTCTCCAGGTTTCTTTAAGCACAGGTTTCCTTTTAGGATACAGAAAATTCTATATTTCACAAACTAGCGAAGAGGGTATTTAAAAAAAAAAAACAGATCCCTCTTTAGTTCCTTTTAACCAGAAATTTGTTTATTATGCTCCCCAGCATGATGCCCCGTGCTGTGGAATGGTTAATAAACATTTGCACAGTTGCTGTCTCTTAATCCTGCCTGCTTTTTCGTTAATAGAATAAGAGAAGGCTAGAACCCCTATCAGATCTGTATTTCTGTAAAGGTATATATGCATATAAATATAAATGTTCAAGAAAGTAGGTACAATAGTAAACAGTGCGCTAATCAGTAAGAAATGTTAAAGCACACACACAGTCCACATCCCAAGTCAATGGTTGTAGGAGGGGTGAAAAAATCCTAGGAGCGAATAGAGTGCGCACTCACCAGAAGTGCATATAAAATACACTATGTGGCGTCCTTTATTGGGCTCTCCTTGAGAGCACCATCTCCCACAGTGCCTATCTGGACTAAGGAGTACCTTTGACGCCCATACTGTTTGATGAATCCTGGTTACTACTCTTCGTGGTGAGACAGAGGATGGTGTGGAGTGCGATCTGACCAGAGCTTTGGTGCCAGAGACATTCTGAAGAGTATACCTCTCTGCATGCGTATTTTATACTCACTTCTGGTGAGTGCGCACTCTATTCGCTCCTAGGATTTTTTCACCCCTCCTATAACCATTGACTTGGGATGTGGACTGTGTGAGTGCTTTAACATTTCTTATTGATTAGCGCACTGTTTACTATTGTACCTACTTTCTTGAACATTTATATTTATATGCATATATACCTTTACAGAGCATTCCTTTTGCACTCTGATTCAAGCGCTGCACCTATCTTTCTCCTTTTATTGATTATTGTAAGGTTGTTTGGTTACCTTTTTGGTGTTCTAGCTGCTTACACAAACCTGTTTGTAGCGCTCGCTATACCTTTGTTACACAGATCTGTATTTCTGTTTGTATCCTTGTTGCAGATTTTCCTTTACTTCCTGTCTTATAAATCAGTTGTCATCAGTAGAGGTACCAAATAAAAGATTTGTACGTCCTTAGAAATATTCAGGTATACTATTTAGTCACTGAGTTGTTAGTTGACACTGCTAAATTTAGCCTTGGGCATCTGGGTATCCAAGACTTCACGGCAGAAGATTAACCAATCTGCCTCACCCCATATTCCTTGTAAAACTTACTTAAACCGCTCCTTCCATTTATATTTATGTTCCTCAAATGGAAATATAATTCAGGACAGAAAAAAAAGTTACCGTCTCACCTGATGCCGCAGTGAATTATTGGCCAGCGTCGGCGTTCCTGAAATCCCGCTATTGTGTTTTGTGTGTATGTTGTTGACTGGCGGCAGTTTGGCAACCTTACTGGACTTGCTGCTGTTGTTGGTGATGCTGCTGGGCCCCGCGGAGCACTTGCGCTTTTTCCCCGTCAGTTTGTCCAGGGAAACACGAGAATGGGGGAACGCGTTGTGAGAGTTCACAGCTTGGTCGCCGCCAGCCTGGTGAACAAAGGGCCCCAGCGAGAGCGTGGAGTCGCTGCTGTTCATAACAACGCTCATGCGCTTTATATCGATTCCGCAGGGTTCCCGCTAGGGGGACCCCTCCCTGATTGGTCGTGTTTAAGACTCACAGATCGATTGTTCACAAAGTTGAGGCCGACACTGTGCGGGCTGCCGTGCTGAGACAAGGTCGTGCCGGGGGAGTGGTATGTGCCAGAGTTCGCTACACAGTTTTTCCTAAAGGACTCAGTGGAATGAGAAGGGGGAGGCGCTAGCAGCTGGGGTGGGGAGTTGGTTTTCTTTTTCTTTCCTGAGCCGCTGCTGCTGCTGTTGGTACTACTGCAGTTCGTGCTGCTGGCGGGGGATTCCTTAGGTTTCACAGCCTTATTGGATTTTAACTTTTGAGGTTTGCTGGAGACTGGGCTAGGCGATGAGGAAAGCACTGACGGTGTGGATGCTGAAGAAGACACTTGTCTGGCTTGCATACTACTGGTGGCTTCGGTTGCAGTGTGAATGTTTAGTGTAGTTCCTTGGGGAAGGACTTTGTCCGAAGACGTACTGGGAGAGGCGACAGGGGCTTGGGGAGAGGTAACTGTGCTGGGCGGGAGGAAACCAGTGTTGTTCATACTCTGTGACACAGGCACCGAGTTTGTGCTGGTCCGGTGTGGAGCATGCATGGATGAACTGCTAGAGGCCGGAGGAATTTTCCTGGCAAGACAGAAAAGAACATGTGTCATTACAGTTCACTGCGCGAGCAGATGTGCTATTCAAATGATGGTTCTATGTCTCTTAAATCAATGCTTTCTTTCATCAAACAAGATCTGTCATTTTTGCAGCCAACCTTAAAGTATAACTTCAGGCAAAACAAATTTTTAGTTTTGGATTGAGTAAGGTTTAAAACATTTTTGTTTTCTGTGTCCCCATCGGGAAGAGGTTTCCCCACTTCTTGTCCCCAGAGACAACCCATGCAATCCATACATAAAAAGAAACCAAAACAAAAACATTCAAAAATTAAGTTCTGTTTAATAAAATGGCATGACACAGGAAAAAATTATTGAACACTCTGAAATGTATTTAATACTTGATACAAAACACTCTCAGGTTTAATTTGAGGGTATGTACATCCAAATTGGAGGAAGGGTTTAGGAATTACAGCTCTTAAGAGTAGCCATCCCCCTTTTTCAAGGGGCAAAAGTAATTGGACAACTGAATGTAGTCATAAATAAAATGTTCATTTTTAATATTTGTTGAGAATCCTTTACTGGCAATGACTGCCTGAAGTCTGGAACACCTGGATATTACCAAAGACTGGGTTTCCTCCTTTCTGATGCTTTGCCAGGTTCTAACTGCAGCTGTCTTAAGTTGTTCTTTGTTTGTGGGTCTTTCTGCCTTTAGTTAGGTCCAAATATATATGGACCTAACTGTATATACAGTATCTCACAGAAGTGAGTACACCCCTTACATTTTTTGTAAATATATTCTATCTTTTCATGTGACAACACTGAAAAAAATGACACTTTGCTACAATGTGACGTAGTGAGTGTACAGCTTGTATAACAGTGTAAATTTGCTGTCCCCTCAAAATAACTCAACACACAGCCATTAATGTCTAAACCACTGGCAACAAAAGTGAGTCCACCCCTAAGTGAAAATGTCCAAATTGGGCCCAAAGTGTCAATATTTTGTGTGTGGCCACCTTTATTTTCCAGCACTGCCTTAACCCTCTTGGGCATGGAGTTCACCAGAGCTTCACAGGTTGCCACTGGAGTCCTATTCCACTCTCCTTCATGACGACATCACGAGCTGGTGGATGTTAGAGACCTTACGCTCCTCCACCTTCTGTTTGAGGATACCCCACAGATGCTCAATAGAGTTTAGGTCTGGCGACATGCTTGGCCAGTCCATCACCTTTACCCTCAGCTTCTTTAGCAAGGCAGTAGTCTTTGAAGGTGTGTTTGGTGTCGTTATGTTGGAATACTACCCTGCGGCCCAGTCTCCGAAGGGAGGGGATCATGCTCTGCTTTAGTATGTCACAGTACATGTTGGCATTCATGGTTCCCTCAATGAACTGTAGCTCCCCAGTGCTGGCAGCACTCATGCAGCCCCAGACCATGACACTCCCACCACCATGCTTGATTGTAGGCAAGACACACTTGTCTTTGTACTCCTCACCTGGCTGCTGCCACACAAGCTTGACACCATCTGAACCAAATCAGTTTATCTTGGTCTCATCAGACCACAGAACATGGCTCCAGTAATCCATGTCCTTAGTCTGCTTGTCTTCAGCAAACTGTTTACAGGCTTTCTTGTGCATCATCTTTAGAAAAGGCTTCCTTCTGGGATGACAGCCATGCAGACCAATTTGATGCAGTGTGCGGCGTATGGTCTGAGCACTGACAGGCCGAACCCCCCCCCCTTTAACCTCTGCAGCAATGCTGGCAGCACTCATACATCTATTTCCCAAAGACAACCTCTGGATATGACACTGAGCACGTGCACTCAACTTCTTTGGTTGACCTTTGTGAGGCCTGTTCTGAGTGGAACCTGTCCTGTTAAACCACTGTATGGTCTTGGCCACCGTGCTGCAGCTCAGTTTCAGGGTCTTGGCAATCTTCTTATAGCCTAGGCCATCTTTATGTAGAGCAACAATTCTTTTTTTCAGATCCTCAGAGTTCTTTGCCATGAGGTGCCATGTTGAACTTTTGAACATTTTCACTTAGGGGTGTACTCACTTTTGATGCCAGCGGTTTAGACATTAATGGCTGTGTGTTGAGTTATTTTGAGGGGACAACAAATTTACACTGATATACAAGCTGTACACTCACTACTTAAAATTGTAGCAAAGTGTAATTTCTTCAGTGATGTCACATAAAAAGATAAAATAAAATATTAACAAAAATGTGAGGGGTGTACTCACTTGTGAGATACTGTGTGTGTGTGTGTGTGTGTGTGTGTGTGTGTGTGTGTGTGTGTGTATATATATATACACATACACATATATATACACACACACACATATATACACACACACACACATACACACTCACACAGTATTATACACATACATACACACAGAATGTCTTCATCACGTGATCCCCGTTGCATCATCTATTACCTATTAGTAGTGGCAAAAATAATAAAAAGTTGCCATGCCAAAGTCACTGAATCCATAATCTTGTCAGTTAGTGGATTTTTATTAATTATAGGCCACATGCATATCTTCTACACACTTTTAAATGAAATTAGGAAATATTTAAACAGAACTTTTAAATAATTTGACACAATCTTGTTATGTGACCTCTCTGTCCTCATTCCCGTGTCCCTCCAATACAACAGCTGCACCTGTAGCAAGCACTTCCATCTTAATCCTGATCCAGCTCTCTCCCTGTGCCAGACTTATCCAAGATGATTTACTGCATTCACTTTATACAACCAATCATGTGTCAGGGAATTAGAGAAAAGAATAATACTTCTGCACATTACTGGGTGTGTGTAGTAAAAACAGGTTCACTTTGCAGTGGTAAACAACCCTCCATAGGCCATGCAGTGAGGAGGAACTGCTTGGTAGTAGACTTCAAAGGAAGATGTAATGTGAAAATGAATGGGATTGTCATTACTGGTTTCTTTTGAAGGTGCATGCTTCTAGAGCTGTCATTCTCATTCTATGCTCACTTCTTTATGACTCAATGACCCACCGTTGCCACAATCACTGCTCACCTGCATATTTAAAATGTATTTAAAACCAAAAAAACTTTTGCTTGTTAAGTTTTAGATAAAATAGGAAATGCGTAGACTGCTGACATTCTTTGTGTCCCGTTGAGGAGAAATCCCTCCACTTCCTCTTCAGTGTTCAACAGTCCTGGGGACACAAAGTGGTTGTAGGAAATTTTTCCATACTAAGGTAAAAGCTCCTCTTAGACCAGTGGTCATTATCTTACAAGGTATAGGAGGCCTCAGCTTTGGCCCCTGACATCACCAAAGGGCCACACATAATATTCATTGTATGTAATGCTACAGAAAACTGTTTGCAAATATGTCAGGAGATGGACAGTGAATGCAGATATGCTACTGGCATTGGAGACATACTGAGGAACACAGACAGAGTGAACATGTTACAAGAGACTGCTGAAGATCACCACCATTGCAGACCCTTTACAAATCAATGCTCCTATTTCTGACCGTTGTGACCCTCGGGTCGCATTGTAGTAATAAAGGGATACATGTGGCCCTTGGGTCGCAGGTTGGTCACCAGGGTCTTAGATGATGATGATGAAACAGGTGTTCACATTGGAAATGTTTCACTCTATTCCAGTAATAATTGTAACATTTTTAACAGGCTATTTTCTACTGGGGGCAGTTTTTTGCCCCATGTGTGTTAGGGTATGTGAGATGGCGCTTACTAATCCTCTCAGTTCAAAACATGCAGGTTCAGTACTACATCAAGTTTTAATGTACAGAAAGGCAGCTGAAATGTGTATGTATGACAGCTTGCCTTCACTATAGACTGACACAACAGACCTGAACACAGCAAGTGCCTGAGCCCCACAAGTCAAGCGAGACCTGTAAAGATAAAGCTATGGGTGGATTTTTTTCCAGGTGGGGAGAGAATTTGTTAGGAGTAGGTAAAAAATAAACTGTCAAAAAGGGTGGAGGGTCCCAGAGGTCCTTTTATATTACCTGGACGTATCTATCTATAGAAACAGTATCTAAGTAATTGTCCACTGGGTTCCATGTAAACACTGGAGCATAACTACATGCTTCTAGAGAGACAGGTCACTCATATAGCTGCTGTGTGAATCACATCTCAGCACGCTGTGTCAACAGGAGCTGGACCACACATGGGAAAGGAGCAGACCGAACAACAAAAAGTGAAGCAGACATTCAAGGCGGTGGGATGCGCAGAGAACAAAAAAAAAAAACAAAAAAAAACGACCCACCCTTAGGCCAACAATTTGTATAATGCCCTATAAACTTGCCAGGTTAGTTTTACAAGTGTTACAAGTGTCTGGGGGGGTTGAGGTTGAGGGTGGGGTGGAGAGTGATTGGGGCAAGTTTTCTAAACTCTATAATCAATAGTCTCCACCCGCCAGGAGCCAACGTTGAAGACATAATATCACCACCTGATTAGCCAACCATCATCTCATGTCAATGGGCTATCTGAAGGAAAGCCTAGGCCTCATTCACACGAGAAGCACATGTGCATTGAAGCACATTGTAATGTTGACAAATGGTGTTACATGGTTGACTAATTCTCTTTACACGTGGCACATCTACCTTCTTTGTAAGTAGAAACAAAACAAAATCTCCATTCTTGCAGTACGGCATATGAGTTTATAAAAGGATCACTGCACAGGTACAGCAAGTAAGAGCAATAAAAACCTTGTGAAGAGAAAGCCAGCACTCACCAAAATCAAACCCTAAGTTTTAATCAAGACATATTGTGTAAAATAATGAAAAATGTGTGAAAGTAAACTTAATATACCAACATTTCACAACCACAAGTGTGTCACCTTAACAAAGGGGACCCTTGTGCCCATGAAATGTTGGTGTATGTGTAGGTTCACACTTTGTCATTTTTACACAATGACCTTTTCAAAACGGAGTTTGATTTGATGAGTAATGCTCTCTTTTTATATGGGTAATATATGGTATCACTGTTAGCCATGCACTCTAATCTGTGGCGTTAGGGGTCTGGTGCTGGATGGACATGTCTAGAGCATTACAGTTTTGACAGTGCTAAACCCCTCTCCACTCTGTCCTAATAAAGTGTTGTCTTTAGTGATACTTTTGAAAAGAACAAACTATTGCGGCAACTGCTTGAGCACCCTTGGTGGTGTTATAATTTGCCCCAACCCGTCACTTTTGTTCAACAAATTAGTCTTTATGTAAATGTGGAGAAAAGTATAAATGAAGACATGTAAAATAAAAAGGAGTTCATATACCAAAAAATATTATTAAAAATATTAAAGTGCGTTTCAAACAAAGTGCACATCTGGTTTTAGCGTCACCCCAACCGACCTAACTCTTCGGCCCCAGTACTTGCCACCACCACAAAAAATTGTGTGTGCTGGACAAGACTTTACAGTAGATCACCATAACATTCTATGGGGTTGCCCCCCCAATACCACAATTATTAGGAGATAGTCCCATTTTAGTCTATGTCAGAGACATTATGATGGAGGAAAGTATGCATCTGGGAAAGGAGAAGGTGGGGATAAAGGAATAAGTGCAATTTAGTTGAAATGTGTACAAATCCTTTAACCAGTTACCAGAACGCAATATTTTTTGGGCAGATATCCTATAATGATGGTGGGTTTTCATTATCACATTTTGCTGGCTGGTGATAATACCTACCAAGTGCTGGGAAAATTAATAATGTATTTGGAAGAGGTAACACAGCTCCTCTAAGTTTTGCAGAACTGTATTAAGATTAAGAGAACAAAAAAGCAGAAAACAGAAGAATAGAAAAGAAAAGTCAGAGACATGGACCTGTGACTGAAAAAAAAAAACCTGCCTTACACTTTTAAACCAATTTTGCTCTCACAAATTTCTATAGAAAGAGCAAACTGATTTCCCCATCTGCACATCCATACATGCTGCGCTACTGTATTCTGACAGTGGGATTCCCCCGCTGTCAGAATACATGGGACAACGCTGCAGTTGTTGGCTGAGAGCACTGAACTAGTGACAATATACTGACAGTCCTGTGCAGAAGGTGTCAATCACTAGATAGACTCTTCTCAAACAGGAACAGCCATACATGAATCGAAATTCCTGCTGAACTGGCAAAATTTTGATCTATGTATGGCCAGCTTTAGGCAGACTAGAAAAAGACAACGCTGACTGAAAGCTAGGGAACCACGGACAGATCCTCTTCTAGTTCTGAGGTCTAGAGATACCATTTCAGAAAGTCAGGTAAAGAGGTAACAGGGCCTCAAGATCAAAGGTGTCTGAGTGACTGCATGTGTTTCCCATAACAAGCAGACTTTCCATTCTGTTCTCTTGTAAAGTGTTAGACAAGAAAAAAAAGAATTTTGTTTTTAAACTGAGGAAAAAAAAAAAAAAGGCAAACCATCATGGGGTGTCTGTGGAATCCTCCATGCCCTTGTCCTGTGTCCCAAGCTTTATCACACAATGGATATATAGTTGTGTTCAAAATAATAGCAGTGTGTTGAAAAACATGAATAAAGCTCAAAATCCTTCTAATAGCTTTTATTTCCATACACACAAATGCATTGGGAACACTACACATTCTATTCCAAATCAAAACATGAAGAAAAATATATCAAATTTGTGTTGTTCCTCTAAATAAATTGAAGAAAAATGAATATTAGACTGTTCAAAAAAAATAGCAGTGTTTGTATTCTTCTTTGCAAACTCAAACATTCACTATATAAACTGAAAAATGTTTGAAGATTTTGCTTTCCTTTGAATCACTTAATGAATATTTGGTTGTAGTCGCACTGTTTCTGAGAACTGCTGTACATCTGTGTTGCATGGAGTCAACCAACTTCTGGCACCTGTGAACAGGTATTCCAGCCCAGGATGATTGGACTACATTCCACAGTTCTTCTCTATTTCTTGGTTTTGCCTCAGAAACTGCATTTTTGATGTCACCCCACAAGTTTTCTATTGGATTAAGATCCGGGGATTGGGCTGGCCACTCCATAACGTCAATCTTGTTGGTCTGGAACCAAGATGTTGCACGTTTACTGGTGTGTTTGGGGTCGTTGTCTTGTTGGAACACCCATTTCAAGTGCATTTCCTCTTCATGCATAAGGCAGCATGACCTCTTCAAGTATTCTGATGTATTCATGCTTCACTGTCTTCACAGTGTACTGTGGCTTGAATTCAGTGTTTGGGGGTCGTCTGACAAACTGTCTCCGGCCACTAGACCCAAAAAGAACAATCTTACTTTCATCAGTCCACAAAATGTTGCGCCATTTCTTTTTAGGCCAGTCAATGTGCTCTTTGGCAAATTGTAACCTCTTCAGCACGTCTTTTCTCCAACAGTGGGACTTTGCGGGGGCTTCTTGCAGATAGCTTGGCTTCACATAGGCGTCTTCTAATTGTAACAGTACTCACAGGTAACTTTACACCTTCTTTGATCTTCCTGGAGCTGATTGTTGGCTGAGTCCTTGCCATTTTGGCTTTTCTTCTATCCATTTGAATGGTAGTTTTTTCGCTTTCTTCCACATCTTTCAGGTTTTGGTTGCCATTTTAAAGCATTTGCGATCATTTTAGCTGAGCAGCCTATCATTTTCTGCACTTCTTTATATGTTTTCCCCTCTCCAATCAACTTTTTAATCAAGGTACGCTGTTCTTCTGAACAATGTCTGGAACGACCCATTTTCCTCAGAATTTCAGAGAGAAATGCACTGTAACCAGCATGTACAACATTTGCTGCCTTCGTTCCTTAAATAAGGGCAATAATTGCCACCTGTTTTTCAAAGAATGACTGAAAAACTCCACACTGCTATTATTTTGAACATGCCCCTTTCAATTAGTGATTCAATTACACAGAATCCGCAGCATGCATGACTGTTGGGTCTGTTGGATTTCTATTACTCTACTACACCTGCTAGTAAATTATTTGCCATGTAGAAATATCATTTCTACCAAAAACAGTGATTGATCAGGTTAGTGATGTCTGACTGCTATTATTTTGAACACAACTGTATATGTCAGGGATAAACTGGGCAGGTTGTAATATTGTATGTACAAAAGCACCATATTATTGTACACATCAGTCACATATGTCTCTTGCAAACTGGCTCAGCTAAACTTCTGGTGAAAAGAACCAAGTGAAATCAGGAAATGTAAAACATACAAGTGGATATGGGTTAACCTGCACAAACAGAAATGACGTTAGCAGGATATGGTTATAAGCTCCTTGTACACACACACACACACACGATAGTGTCTGTATAGTTCCAGGAGGACATCATTCAACTGTGTGCGACCAATACCTTTCTTCTTGTTTTGCAGATACACAATTACTGACAGCAATGATGTTTTTCACTGTCTGAAGTAAAATTCCACCAACAAATCCCCAATGTAACCGGGAATTATTCCTTTCATCATGACCACTGTAAGAAAGCACCTGTTCCATAGACCACCAACAAAAGGGGGCACCGCTCCCACTGACCACCAATGAAAGGGGACACCTCTCCCGCTGACCTACAATGTAAGAGGACACCCATCCCACTGACCACCAATGAATATAATATTATTTAGCAGGGGTTCCCTGAGACCTTAACATTTTTTAAGCATTTCTTCGGTTAAAAAAAAAAAAGTTTATAAAAGCTGAATTATGCAGACCAACTAGAAATCCTGCTCATCTAACAGGATACACAACCTACCCATCTGTATACAATGTAATCCAATAATGTAAGCCAGCTTTCTACTGCTGTCCCCTAATTACAAAATTCCATTGTGAGATTTCCTGCAGTCACTTTTGGGTAGACCAACAGTAACTCCTGTCTTAACAGTATCGCTAGACCCTGTTCCAACTGGCTGCCTTCACTTGATGCAGAAATGACATTTCATTAACCAAGCAATCACTTACCTCCACATCTGGGAGTTTAGATGTTTGTCCACCATGAAGTTAAGTGCACATCGGATGTGGTCCCACCGCTTGTCGAAAACATAATACCCCCTCCCAATCTGTCTGCTACCAAATGAGCAAAACTGTAAGGAGAAAATGCAAGAAGTCATTTAAAAATATATATTGATTACTTTCACACCATACTATACATATTTAAGGAAAACATGTTACTGTATTAGTAAACTGAGACATAAGAACCTACAGTTGCCCGAATGTAGCTTAAGGAAATCTTCCCAAAACCTAGGACACTCGGGTAGGTCAACTCATTGGGTTCTGTACCGAATGGTGCCTCAATGCAAAATGTGCAAACTCATCGACCAATAATGGTGTAGAAGGCAGTGTGTCAAAACCTAGCTTCATCAGCTGAAGGACAACACCAAAGCATTGTAGTGTGAACAGGGCACATAGCAAAAAATTGTTTTCTATGGGCGCTAGCAAAATTTTGGAAAGAAAATTATTTTAAGTAAAAGTACTACATATATAAGATTTCATTTCAGATTTCACCTGCTTCCACTATGGAGATACAAACACCTTTTCTGTCATCCATTTATTTTTTTATAAATGTGAGATTCTGCAGGAAACCAAAGGCAATAAACTAACAAGTACTGATTATGTGGAACTGAACTACACGTCCCATCATACACCAGCATTCTCCGGTGGCAAGAGTTGTATTTCAATCAGGTTAAATGATTATATTGCACACTGATAAACTTATTAATCTTGCTATACAGTATCTTCAAAGTGTGTCCAATGCAACTTAATATATTATAAATAAAAGGAAATTACTCAACCTGATTAAGTTTACTGCTCCCACAGGCTGCAGTACAGAGCTTGTCAATCAGGGTTACACCCCCCCAAAACCCTATTTGACTATTTTTATTATTATTGATAACTCATCTTAATACCCCGGTCACATCGGGTGCTACTTGGCATGCAATTTTCATGCCATGCGACTTGCAAATCGTAAGCTAATTTGCACCCTATCGTCCGCAATTACAGCGGTCAAACCAGTGAGGTACCGACTTGGTCGGAGCCACACCGATTTCTAAAGTAGTACATGTACTACTTTTGGTGCGATTTGCATAAACATCTGTGTCAGATGTCTTGCAAATCGCACCTGAAATCGGCATGTTATCTGACTTTGAAATCGTGCAACTGCACTGTAAGTCGCACGATTTCAAAGTAAGGCTTGATGTGACCGGGGTGTTGAGCATCAAGGAAATTTGTATTACAGCATATGAATTTGTTACTATGTGACGATGTCTTATATATTCATGTATTGATGTCGCCCCCAGATGGGAGTGACTGTTCACTTTTTTATTTTTCAAATATGTACTCTGTATTTACTTGAGTCATATATGCTGTATTTACCTTGTGCACGCAGTATAAAACACAGTATAAAAATAAATAAAGAAGACTAATACCACCACTGCTAGAAGGTAGAATTTTTGCAAGAAGAAAATTCAGATGCATCTCTCCAGCATGGATGACAACTTACTTGACTTTCCAAAATAAGTGCAACTAATCTAAAAGTTCAGCTATGCTTTAGTAATGGTAGCATGGAGTTTTGGGGAATATTAATGGATACGTTCACCTTTTTACAAGAGATGAATAAATGCACTTTTTTTTGCAGGTAAAAAACTGAAAGTACTATTTGTTTCTGGAGTCTCTAAAGCATTGCACCAGTGATCAGCAGATCGCTGGTGCCATGCTGGTCTCTTGCAGACCTGTCAGTATATCTGCTTGCCAACACGGAAAGTACAGGCAAGCAGATATACCGACAGGAAAAACCAATTAACTACCATGGCGATCCAAAGTGCCGTGGTAGTTCCATGAGAACTACAAGCTGACAGCCACAAAGGCTACCGGGACTTGTAGTTGATTAATTCACAGAACACCATGGATGAATTTTTTAAAAAGCTAGGGGGGAGGAGAAGATCGCCCGCTAGCTGTCACAATGGGGAGCGGGGGGAGGAGCACGGGCCGGTCCGTTCGTAACATGTTACAACCTGAATATGGGTGAGGTGAATCTATCCTTTAAGGTCACACTTGAACAAAGACGTGTAAGCACTACGAATAAGTCAGCACTTATTTGCTGCCGAGCACCATACAGTCTTAATGTAAAATGTATGAAACTATAAGAAGTGGTTCTTTTATTATTTGGTTCTGGCAGACTCTGGTAAAAAGTTCTACTAAACTCTGATTTCCCCACACTTACAGCTGCAGGCCGAGGGTGGTGGTCTGAGTAATGACAGTCCAGTTTTTCAGCAGGTTCCTCCTTTTCGTCCCCTTCCCCCTCATCACTAGACAAACGGGAGGTTGGCTCAGCTGCAGGTACGACTGGTTGAGACTCATGCACCGATGGTGAGCCGTTGGGAGCATTACCACTGTGCTGCGCTGGATAACTTGATGGCCTAAAGAAACAAAGTGGAAAAGTACATGTTTAGTAGCAGCTACAAATGCAAACCATCTAGGTTCACAAGGGAGAAAATGAAGTCTTTCAGGTCTCAGTACTCGGTTTTCCCCCCCGTGGAACCTGCTCTGTATTTACTTAATTAGAAGGCTGGCAGGTGAAGGTGAATGTGCTTAGCTACAGAAAGCTTTAACTATAAAATTTGAAGAGGAGTTGCTCCACAGAATCTGCGGCTACAGAGGTCAGCGATGGCTCATTTTTCAAGTTTATGCAAATACTTAAAAATAAAAACAATAAAAACCTGTGGACAGGCTATGGAAATTTGTGTTTTTTTTAATCTTACACAGACATGCACTTTAAGAAATAATAAAATACCATGGTAGTCGCATAATTTTGATCAACACTTGGCAAAGCATGCACTGTGTGTATAGGAAAGGTACAGGTTGCACCATGCAAACGGCCTCACCTTGGAAGACTGGGGTTGTGAGGCTTGGCCTTGCTGGGTACTAAAGGCTTCGCTTCGGGAGCAGAGTGTCCATGAGAGTTTTGGTGCGGTTCCTGGGAAGATTTTGAAGGTGAGGGATGTGGTTCCCTGAGCGCAGACGTCTGCTGCTGTTGCTGTTGCTCAGCATGACGAAGCAGTTCTTTTTCCCTGGTTTTATTTTTGTGCTCAGCTAATAACACGTCAAAACCTTTCTTGCGCCCTTGTACTGCTCTCCGGTAGCCTAAGGAATGTGCCTAGGGAAAAGAAGGACTACCTTAATGAAGATGGCAAGAGAAAACTCATAAAACAAAGTTCTTTGGTTAATTTAAACAAAATAATGGCATGATGTGCCCTTCTATAAGTGAATTTTTCATTAAGCTTTTTAATAAATGCAGAAAGATCTCAGAAAATTGTTTTACTGCTTCACTTACAGCTAGACCCACCTTACTTGTCTAAGCTTGCAACCTGCCTTAAAACCAAACTGCAGCCAAACTTTATTGTCATTGCTGTCTGTGTCACCATTGGGGAGATTTATCCTCACTTCCTGTTGGGACAGAAGTGAAGGGAAATCTCTCCAGTAGGGACACAGACTGCAACAAAACACCTTTATTCCAGGTAAACAGGAAGTTTTATAACCACTTTCAAGTTATTACTGTGTTCAACTTCCTGTCCCAGGAATGACTGTTCCCCTCATTTCTTTAAGTCACAGGTTGCCAGAGGGAGAGAAAATGAGGTGAAATCTCCCCCATTGAGGTCATGGAGATCAATAAAAATATGTTGAAAAAAAGTTTGGCCAGACGTTTGGCTTTAGATCGAACCTTAGAATAAGTTTCTCTGTGTTCTTACACTGTAAACTAGTACAAACAGTAGCTTTCACTGTGGAGGCCTCTTTAGATATCGCAATAAGCAGCACACTGACAGCTAAAAATGATGCTAGGACATCTTTGGTGATGTCAGAGCTGTTTAGATTATCTAAATATCTTCTAATAACCATTTTGCCATTGTTTCTGAAGCTTGAGGCAAAGGATCCATTTTTTTTACCTGTTCTGCACTCATAAAACTGGGAGGCAGTGGAACTATGCAACGTCTACAACTGCTGCTGACAGCTATAAGATGTAAGGCAGCGGGAGTACCTACATAGCTCCTAGTCCTTTTAATGGTTTTGTCAGTGTATTGCAGTTAGGGGTAACCATAAAACATACAAGTAAATTCAGGGTTTCTGAAATTCCACTTATGTTATGTGGTCAGTGTATACAAAATACATGAGCAGCAAGATAGAGGAAAGGACTTACCTTGCATGTCAGAGATCTAGTGCAGGGCTTCTTTGTCTCAACATCGACAACTCCACAGTGTATATCGGGGTCAAACTCTCGATCTATAGAATATGAGACAATTGGAAACCAAACTACAGACAGCAACAACATCAACAACCTGTCTAATAAAGGGCAGGGGGAATGAACAAACATGTATCGGGAATGAAAAGTTCCCTGAGGGCAGAGATCAATGAGTGGCATATGCATATACTCCTGAGCTGGAAGATGGACTTCACATAGGCTAGAACCACATGTAGGATGCCTAGAAAATGCACACCTTGTTGCCCTCAATGGACCAGGGAATCCAAATGTACTGCATGCAAAGAAAAACAGAGGGCGCACAGGCCTAGTGCATTACCTTTAAAAAAATCATTTATTGTATAAAAGAAGTGGTAATATACTCACAATGGATACAATGTCAAGGGCACATCATATAAAGTACAGCAAGGTCCAATCACACTGGATGATATCTGTAATGGGATTCTTAGACTTCCAAATGGCTGACACATTTTGAGGACTTGCCTCTTCCTCAGGGCCAATAACTACCATGCCTGTATCCTCTCTTAAATGTACTTTATATGATGTGCTCTTGACATTTTATCCTTTGTCAGTATATTACCACTTCTTTTATACAATAAATTATTTTTAAAAGGTAATGCTCTATGCCTGGGCAGAGATCAATGTTTTATTAAATTACTACCTTTTCTTTTTCCGTTTTTTCACAACTTTCCACACTTGGCATTAATCCACCTAATACCTTCTAGCCAGCAATGAAACAGCCATAGTGGAAAGAACGGGAAGGATACAAAAGACATGGCAGTCTAAAGAGAAGTGGCCCAACAGTATGTGAATTTGAGCAAGTTGCTCTGGATCAGATTATATCCAGTTAGATTTTGGTTTTCTGACTTTCCTAAAATTAACTTTTTGCTCATCAAAAGTCCAAAAAACTGGATACAAAATGGAAATGTTTGTTCTACAAAATATTACAAATCAAAAAGACTCATCTGAAAAAAGCAAATGTTGTTAGTGCTCCAGCACTAATATTCAAATATTAGATAGACCATGGTCAGGCAGTGTGACCAGTTTATGGAAGACTTATAAAGAGATTGTATCTCTAAGGGCTCATTCAAATGCGTGCTCAGTCCTGTGCAGCGGCCAGAGCGGTTTGCTTTTTTTCTACTGCCGAGAAAGTAAATGTGTACGCACAGTGCGTACTCACCCGTACAGCCGAACTTAACAGAAACAAGAACACCACCTGAATGAACAGAAGGCTGACTGACAGCTGTGGTATACACAGACAGATCGTGTGCTGAAAAAGTGGTTAAAAAAGGCGCACCAGTGGGGTTCCCCACTTCAAACAAAAACCTTGAAGCATGTGGAAGCTGGGTTTCTATTACTTAGAACTATACCTGTAAAATATAACAAAAGTCGTACATACCAGACAATCTCTTGTGTAAATATTTCCTACAGTTTGTATCTTCAGCTTTCTTTTCCACATTCGGAGGAGTCGAGAGAATTCCTTTACCATTTGGTATCTGTCCAGGGGAAGGCAAAGGTGGCTTTGGTATTGATTGCCAGTTAAGGCCAGTCTTTACTGAGGAGCTGACAGAAGAGGAACAGGTAGACCCAGCAGCCGATTTTTGCAACGCACCATCCGTTTTTTGGATTGTATGCATCTTCTCCACTTTAACAGATGGGGTCATTCTGTAGGGCAGACAATTTTTTTTTTAGTAAAATGAAGGACTCTGCTTAATGCTTTCAGTGCCCAACTAAAGCCTTGGTTTAAAAATTCTGGTATTTATACTGAGCTTCTTGAAGCTACAACAGCCTTATGCATGTCAGAATAACTTTTTCCTGATGCAACGGTTCTTTGTTCATTTCAACAGTAGGAAATAGGAAACCAAAACAGTATATTTAGAATACCTAGACTCAAATATAAAACGCACCAAAAGTACAGGGGTTAGAAAAAATTAAAACACTACTTTATTTGCAGGTGTGAGAGTGAGGGCATGTTTCGCATTGAAAGCAGAAGTGAGGTAACATTCTTTTGCTTCTGCTGTGTGATGAGACACCTAGCTAACAGGTGGGAAGCTTCACTTTTATCATTCACTGTGTGTTCTGCTAGTAATACATTGTCATGTCAGAGCTTACTGAGCTTCAAAGAGGGCAAATTGTTGGTGCCGCTTAGCTGGTGCCTCTGTGACTGAAGTTGCCAGTTTATTTGCTGTGCTGCGAGGTACAGTATCAAAGGTTATGACGGAATATATACAGTTTCCAGGAAAACGTCTGTGGTCAACTGACCAAAAGAGACAAAAAGGACATTGCGCAGGATTGTGACCCGGAATAAGAAAACAGCTGCTGCAAAAGTGACTGTAGAGCTCAATCTCAGTCCCATGAAGACTGATTGGCATTAGCTTGCATTTTGTAATTGGCCTACCCCCCAGCAAAGCTGGAAATTGGAAGTTACATGAAGAAGCCAATAGTTAAAGTGGTTCTAAAGCCTGAAGGTTTTTAACCTTTGTGCATTCTATGCACAAAGGTAAAAAAAGTTCTCTGTGTTGTTCCCCTCCAGAGCCCTCTAATACTTTCCTGAGCATGATCTTGATCCACTGATGTACATGGGAGCAGCGGCTCTCCCCTTCTCCATAGCCAAGTGAGCCAGTGAGGATGGAAAGTGGTGGAACTGAGCCTCGCTCTGTGTGTCAATGGATACACAGAGTAGGGCTTGAGAGTGAGCAAGCACACATGCCCCCATACCAAACAACTTGCTATAGTTGTACTCAGCAATGGGGAGGGGCCAAGAGCACCAGCAGGGGACCTGACAAAAGGAGGATAAGGCTGCTCTGTGTTCAACCATTACACAGAGCAGGTAGGTATGACATGTCTGTTATTAAAAAAAAAAAAAAACACCACCAAACAACAAAAGCAAGCCTTTAATGTCACTTTAAAATTTGTCCTTTCTACCTGTATCAAGAACACCCCCGACGTGTAACTTTTGACACAAGAAAAACACCTGTGTGCGCCAAGCACTATGGCCAACTTGGGAGGACCTATTTGAAATACTACATGTCTGATTGCAAAAGACACACAAGAACAATGGATTAGTTACCCAATGGTCAGTATTCCATCATGATCAATAAAATGGGGATGGAATTCAAAAATAATATTGCTCCTTTTACAGGATAGGGAATAGGAGAATGGACCCAAACTGGTCCAGTCTACCATTATAGCTGCTCTGGCATTTCTTAAACACAGAGGAAGTGTAGCTTACATTTTGTCTTGTGGTGCTTTGCTGTGTTGCGTGGGATGCATCGACCTGTTGTTCCCGCCTATCTGTAGCTTTTCTTTGGGAGATTTTATCAGCTTGGAGTTGGAGGAGGCACTACCACTAGCACTGCTGGATGTCCGCGTGCTGCTGCCAGCCACTCTGTTTTTAGTTGAAGGCGTGGAGTAGAGGGAATACACAGATGATGATGGAGGTGTCAGAGGGGCCTTGCTGGAGGAACCATGTCTTCTTTCTGGAATAAAAGGAACCTGAGTTAATAACCAAATGTCAAAGAAGATGATTTCAAATCAAGCAGCTTCACATTTCACAACAGTATCTTTTGTTGTATTATTTATTGCTGATTTATCCTATGGCTCTAAATATGTGGCTAAAGAATACCTGTTTAGATTCCACCTCTGCGCTCCTCTGACCAGTCTTGCTTTGGGGCTGCTGTACAACAAAGCATACCTTTAGGCTGTAGACTTAATTGGAGATTAGACCTCAAGTGGAGAAGATCTTTATCCCTTTCTACATTACACTGCAATGCACATGGGTAGTGATCTGCACCTGCAATCATCGGCAACTGTTGAACCTAGCCTAAAACTAGTCTTTAGTACAGACTCTGCCTAGCACTAGCAGCTCATCGACTTAAAGCACAGCTTCACCCAAAAGGGGAAAGTTTCCCTTTAAGTCCTCCTCACCCCTTCTGCCTCATTTGGCATGTCCTTTTTTTGGGGGGAGCGGGTATCTAGTTTTGACAGGTACCCGCTCCCACTTCTGCTCTGATTGCCTAGTTTCCTCCCCCAATGTTCTGATTGCCTAGTTTCCTCCTTCCCCGCAGTCTTCTGGGATATGTCACAGGTCCCCGAAGACTGTGGGACCATTCACAAAGCGCAGTGCGGCTGGAACATGTGCAGTGGGCAGCCTGCTGTGAAGCTGCAATTAGCATAGCCGGCTGCCCACAGTTAAGATGCCGGTGCCAGGAACCCAAAGGCTAGTGAAGAACTAACCTGGGTGAGGATGGCACTGGATCTCTGGACTGGTAAGTGTCCTGTTATTAAAAAAATCAGCAGCTAGAGGATTTGTAGCTGTTGACTCTCTTTTTTTCTAGCGTAAAGATGCTATGTAATGCTCGGAGGTGTATTATAATTTCTTCTCTTTTTAGAAGACCTGGTTATTGATTATAAAGAAAATTGGATAGACAGCCAGGTCCTGAAGCAAAACACGCCTGTGTGATAAGGCTATATTGGATGTAGCTATTCTACTCCTGCTTCAGAATTGTGACTTGGATTCACTTTATGGGTCCAGGGCTAGTATGTGGCATACAGTATGGGGGAGATTTACGACAACAGGTGCACACAAAGCTGGGTGCAGCTGTGCATAGCAACCAATCAGCTTCAAGATTTTATTGTGAAAGTTTAATGAACAAGGTAAAGTTGGAAGCTGATTGGTTACTATGCATAGCTGCACCAGAATTAGTAAATCTCCCCCTATGTGTCTGTGATGGATGTGTGGGGGTGCCAAATCCCATAGGAATTTCTGCTTTCCGACAAATTCCCGTTAAGATGCTTAACAGCATTCTATTCTTCAACAATCCTAGAAAACCAAGTTTATCCATGGCTGTACATGTGAGTTAAAAAAAAAAAACAGAAACAAAGCCCTAGATTAGAATAGAAAAGTACAAAGTTCCGGAAAGGCTGATACCTCCCGGTGAACACCATTTACAACACAAGCACAGCAAAAGCCACCGAAGAAGACGAGAAAGCGGACGGATTCTGCAATGACTCAGATCACTGGTGGCTTTTTTTTTTTTTCAAAGCAATGAGCAACAATCCCCTGACTGTCACACTGCTTAAAAAAAGAAAGCTTGCCGAAACATTCTAATGCAGGTCCACCTGTGACTCTGGAGCTGGAAAAAGTCATGTTGAACAGCAGCAAATGGGTGTCCTGAAGAACTATTGAGTGGAAGGGTTGCTCAAAACAACCAATCGGCTGCCAGATGTGAGCTGTATTATGTGGACTACGATGGGAAATGCTCTCAATGGAGTGTCATTTGACTGACATTTATAGTAGAGATAAAAGGCAAGGTTTTGTTTTTTTTTGGATATACTAAAGAAGGGTTATAGCCCCTGTAAGGTTATTTTTACCATCTGTGCCCACTGGGGAGATTTCCCTTCACTTTCTGTCCCATAACCAAAATAAAAAATGAGTGGAAATATTCCCAAAGTAAGGGGAACCTTGGTTGTCATCAGAACCCCACTGGGAGATTTCCTCCCTATTCCTGCTCTGGGGGGGAACCCAAGAACTGGTATTTTCTTTTACTTTCGGTGATAATGGTATACAGGACAAACAGAGAGGGTGAATCAGCAATACAAACCTGACAGGTTTTTTAATCCCTATCCACTTTAGCCAAATCTAAAAGAGTTGTGCCTTCAGTTATACTTTTAACTGTAATTTAATGTGGATTTCGGGTATCTATACCAAGTTGGGGAGATTTCTCTTCACATTCTGTTGTGGAGATAGAACAGAAAGTGAGAGAAATCTCTACAAAGTGATTTTTTCCTCTATTCCTGTTATGGGGACAACTGAAAAACTTTGGATTCGCATCACTTTCTGTTTCAGTGACAATGCCCCACAGGACAAACTGAGAGGGTGAATTTCCCCGATGGGAATCGCAAAAAAAAAAAAAAAACTCCAAAAAAACTGGCTGCTCAAACCGGAAATTGATGGATTGCTATACAAACTTACTTTATTAGCATCCAACTATAGACTGATCATTGAGTCCATTTTCACTTTTTCCAAGCCCCGATGAAGCAGTCTAGATCCCATGAAACGCATTGGCTTTACAAAAAAAAATAATTAACAGCAGTTCTAATCCATTAATCTACCCAAAACATTAAAAAAAAAAAAAAAATTGAAGAGCTGAGCTTTGGGTGGACTTACTATTCAAACGGCTATATTATACAAAAACAAACCTAGTAATACAATTTAGGTCCGGTTTATACCCTTCCCAGACATGAATTGCACAGGAATGTACAGTGCGTTCCTGTGCGATTCACATGCAGTGTCATTTCAGCCCATTCATTTTGAATGGGCTAAAACTGCACCACACCAGCAGTAGTGCATGCGCTACTTTTTAAAACGCACTACAACCGGATTGCATAGTACAAATGTGTTCCGGTGTGGGCAAACATATTTGCAACCTGCACTTGGGGTGTCATTAACTTTGCATTGACACCCGCTGCAGATTGCAAATGGAGTGCGTTTTACATGCAGTCTGAATCACTCAGGAACGCACAGCATGTTCGTGTGCAATTTATGTGTGGGCATGGTGTGAACCGGCCCTAAAAGGGACTCACCCTAGTATGTGTAAGTATCTGAATCTCCATTTTAAAGGAGGTTCTAATAAGTTCAGTCTTCCTTCATGGTGAAAGCTGCGTGTGTTGTTGCTCCCTTGTATTCTTGCCCCATCAAAGCAGAAATGTCAACACAGTGTCAGGAAGTAAGGCCCTCATGCAGAATGACCAGGCTCTTGCCTGACTTCAAGGCTGACAACCAATACTCAGTCCAGGACACTGGAGGAGAGCAAAATTGTCAATTAACAAAGTATTTAGTTTTATTTCCTGTGATCCTCACAGCACCTTTGTTATATGACCGTTTTTGGGTGTCCATGTCCTGTGTTGGAGACAGGATAGCCTTACAGCCCAACACTTAAGGAGAATTTAACCTCCCTAACGGTATTCCCGAGTGTAGCTCAGGGTAAAATGTCAGTTCCAAAAGCGGTAACCCCGAGCTACACTCGGGCTTACCATGCAGCGCTGCATAGGGAGTCCCTGCAGCACTTACCTTGTCCTGCGCTCCCGCGATGTGTCCCCTGCAGCTTCCCCGGCCATCTCCTCCGGCAGATGCCGGCATCCGGCTCCTGTGTTCCGGTCCCTGTGACGTCGGGACGTACGGGCGCCGCCGCCGGCGGCGGCGGGAAACTTGAAAATTTTAAAAAAAATGTCATTTTTTTCAAAACTATTTTTCATAGTAAAACATTGCTGTTTCAACCCATTTCACATACATTTTGTCCCGAGTGCTTTGTCCTGTGCCCTGCCTGCATTTTGTCTGTTCTTTCTGCCTGGAAACGTAGAAAAGTCCATGGCATCCAAAAAGTGTCCCTTTAGGTCAAAAGCGGGTTTAGATCAGCTAGAGAACAGCGATAGTAAAGCAGAACCACTTGCAGAATTGAGTGATAATGATTCGTGGGGGAAATTCGTCATCAGACACTGAAAACAATTTTGCGACTTTGCTCAGCAATGTGCTAACTTGGCGCTATATTTCAAATTTCAGTGTTTTTTGTTTGATTATATTATTGAATTAAATGTAATATTATTATATTATTATTTTTTTATGATTATTTATTAAATTATAATTTATGATTTTGTGTTTCAAATTTTATCATATCCGGGATGTTTAATAGACTCTTGTTCGGACAGATTTCAGTGAGTTATTCCTAAATATTACAGCCTACAATAAAAAAAACTACATATTTCCATGCAAAATAATGGTACCGCTATCAGCACCAAAAATCTGAAATAATCATACTGCCAGGGAGGTTAAGCAAATCAAGAATACATAAACACCTGAAATAATAATAATAAAGTATCCTCAGGGGTAAGGCTGCACTATAAGCAAACAACAGTGTAGACTTCAATTATTACAACTGCCCATTGGTGACTAGTTCTCTTTAAAATATGCATTGGTAATAGCTGAGAGAAAGTGTCATGGCTGCCAGCCTTTGCGTAATAAAATGCCACACAAGAAGCAATTAAATGCTAAGCACAAGCGCTGTCCTATTAATGAGGCACCGAATGCTGAAGCCAATCATAAAGGCTTATGTCACGATTTCATTGTGTATATGTGCAAATACAGCAAACTGTTCACTTACATTGCTGATTGTTACACTAAATGCTATCATGTAAGCTGAGGTGTCATTCAGGTTCTCTGGTCCTCGAAGTAGACATCTCTGTACAAGAACATGGGCAGCACAGTGGCCAAATGGTTAGCACTTCTGCCTGGCAGTACTACGGTCGTTGGTTCAAATCCCAACCATGGTACCACCTGCCTGGAGTTTGCATGTTCTCCCTGTGACTGCGTGGGTTTCCTCTGGATACTCCGGTTTCCTCCTACACTCCAAAGACATGCAGGTAGGTTCATTAGATCCTGTCTAAATTGTCCCTAGTATGTGTATGTATGAATGTGAGTTAGGGACCTTAGATTGTACACCCCTTGAGGGTTAGGGACTGATGTGAATGTACAATATATATGTAAAGTGCTGTGTAAATTGACGGCGTTATATAAGTACCTGAAATAAATAAAGAACAACCAAAGCTGAAGCAGGATATGAGAAGGTTCAGACACAAAATCATGGTTGTGGCAACTTGCAGACAACCACAAAGTGGAACAGACAGACATTAAAGATTATATTTTTTTTTTGCTGCTGTGTGTGTGTGTGTCATATATGTGTACTTTATTAATCATAGTCTATCATTTTCATATACTTCTTCCATCTGGAGTATCTGGTTGGTCTGCCAGTCACCTTTCTTCCTTGTTCAAAACTGACCATACAAAGCACAGAAGCCGATCTACGCTTCTGAAGTCAGCTGTCATCCTACTGCTGGCCAGTCATAGGTACAGAACACTGTGCAGACACACAGCATCAGGGGCGTCCCTAGGGTTGGTGTCACCCGGTGCGGTAACACTTGGTGACACCCCCCGCAGATCCCGACGATCCCCGCAGGATGGATCGGATCTGCAGATTGGATCTGGATTGGGAAGGATAATGGATCAGACTCCAATCCATTATGCTCAATCCGCAGATCCGATCCATCCTGCTGGGGATCGTCGGCTTGCTTTAAAACTTACTTTTTCGTGGAGCTTGTGGAGAGATCAGTTAGCCCCGTATAGGTTGCAAGCCAACGACCCCACAGGATGGATCGGATCTGCAGATCGAGCATAATGGATCGGACATGCACTGTGCCCCTTAACCCCGCCCTCCCCACTAAAAGGAAGAAGAGATGCATAGTTGAAAAAAAAAAAAAAAAAAAAGGGAAGAAAGGTCATTTCTGAAGCTAAGCAAAATGAATCATCCTGCCTGCCTTAGAAAATGTCTAACAGTGTATGCTCACATTTACTTTAAAGCTGAATTCCAGGTATGAAAATGTTTGCAATTTTTAATCCAAGATACACCAAAGTAAGTGTGAATGTGCCACGCCTGGCTGATCTCTGTGGAAGTGGACAATCATTGCAGTAGCCACGGATACTACAGCGATCGTTCACTTGGCACAAGTGTCATTCAGATAGGACCTCTTATTTTTGTCAAATACAAGTGATTCTCTGATGGGATGAGGTGGGGTCATGACGTCACCACCTCATCCACCCAGAGAACATTTTGCATTTATTAAAGCACAACTAAAAGGCAAAACTTTTTTTTTTTTTTTTTTTTTAGTTTTGGAGATTGATTAGAACCCTATCAGTTTTTATTGCTGTCTGTGTCGCCGTTAGGGAGATTCACCCTCCCCTATTTCTCCTGTTTACCGTAATCATCAAAAGTGAAAGTAAAAGATAATCCCACATTTTGGGTTGTCCCCAGAAAAGTAACAGAGGAGAAATCTTCCAATGGGAACACTAGTTCTGATAACCTGGGGGTCCCCAAGGAATTTGCTTAATTTGCAGAGATTTTCTCACTTCCTGTTTTGGCTATGGGTCAGGAAGTGAAGGTAAATCTCCCCCCATGGGACATAGATGGCAAAAAAATAAACTGACAGGGATAATTCACCCTCCCTTACTCTATCCAAAATGGAAAAAAAAAAAAAAAAAAAGTTTTGTCTGTAGTTCTACTTTAAGGAAAATGCAAGGTGTTTTCAGAATGGTGCCCATACCGTGAACAACCCCGCGTTCAATATTCAGCTGGGCAGCTTCTGGGCATGGGACCTAGACGATTGCAAGGATCACTGTAGTAGCGGTGCCAACTATAGTGATTCTTCGCTTCCACAGGGATCACTGATGGAATATACATACTTAGATTGGTTCAAACTGGACAAATGTAACCATGCAAAAATATTCATACCTGAATTTCATCTTTAAGCGCCTGGTCTGATGAATCACTCAAAATACAGCTTAAAAAAAAAAAAAGAAAAGTATTCTCCAAATGTAGGTCAATGTTGTGCAGCTGCCTCTTTGGGCCTGATTGTGGTCTGACATGGGTCTTCGGGGGCTATAGCAAGCAATGTGTGGTTCTCAAAAGGAAACTACAATACAGCAAGGGCCGGTGTAGATGGGATTCTTTTCACGTCAAGCAGGTTTTGCATCTCTATTCAAGACTACGGGAATGCAAAACCTGCTTAAAACAGATCAAATGCAGCTCAGATCGTCAACTGCAGTTCAAAACGCACCTGTCAATGAATTCTGAAAGATCTTCTGAAAGCTTCTCAAATTGACACCAAACTGATGTCAATCACAAACCCAGAGCCTGTTGTCAAGGGGCCCTAAAAATGTTATATTCAAGCGCGTCTAAACTTAAAAACAAAAATGTTATATATTTCAGCTTTCCCCATCAGATGTGGTGGGCATATTCGTTTATTTCAGGCTTCCTTGTCCCAGGGTGACAACGCTCACTCCTCAGCTGTATCTATAGAGAGAGACATAGTTGTCACACTAGACTGCTCTCCTGATTTGAACTACAATCAGGTCTTCTCCTCTCATCTAGTGTAGTTAGTCACATTCAACTGGACTTATTTTTATTTTTTTTTTTGGTTTTGTAGCTTATCTAAGCCACTTTGTCAGATTCAATGAGTGCCAGAAAACTACCCCAACATTTATATCCACACAGGTAGCACAGAGACCTTGATCCAATCTCCATGGAAGTGAAATATTACAGAACAAATCTAGTTCAATGTGACCTGGATAAACAAGAACATTCAGATGTATTCCTCTCCATCACATGGAGGACCCATGGAGGAGGGCTTGTAGCTTACAGTAGATGGCTTGGAAGGAAGATATGACTGTTTGTGCTTTCAAAAGTGACAAGGACACTGCATTTCCTGCAGGATCAATATGTATTTTCTGTACTTGCTGAAAATTTATTTAGCTTAGCCTGAACAATGAAGACTAATGCAGCTACTACATCTAAGGGCTGTAAAGCAGCAATGTGTTACTTTTTTATCCTTTCGGTCCATGTTTTAGATTCATGAAGACACACTGCTAGTGTCACGGAATGCCACTTTGCTGATTTGTCCACTGTAGTTTCTTCAGAAACAGACAGTTCTAGGAGTGTCGACCTCCTGTGTCCATTGCTATGCTCACTGGTTCCTCCAGCCAACCCCTACAGCACTATAGGGCACAGCCATGACATGGAGGTCCTGGGGGAGGAACCAATAACCACAGTGATATACACAGGAGATTGACACCTCAGGAAGTGTTGTTTCTAAAGAAACATCTGCAGATGATTCCTCTTCATCAAAGCGGTTTTCTGAGACGCAGGCTGAGGGGAGTATTTACTCTTCTTGTTCACACTGATGCGGTGCAGGATTCGCAGCGATTCCGGTGCATTTCCCACACAGCATCACAATCGCACTCCAATCATGCAAACCGCTTCAGGTGTCAATGTTTTGTTAATGACACCCCAAAAACAGGTCATAAAATGCAGTGCAATTGGCTGAATCGTTCAGACCCAAATGATCCGATTCCAGCGTGCCTGCACCTTTTGGGTGAGATGTGATTTGAGCCATACAAAATGAATGCACAGTGGCTAAATGGTTAGCACTTCCGCCTGGCAGTACTAGGGTCGCTGGTTCAAATCCCAACCACGGCACCACCTGCCTGGAGTTTGAATGTTCTCCCTGTGACTGCGTGGGTTTCCTCCGGGTATTCTGGTTTCCTCTCACACTCCAAAGACATGCTGTAGGTGAATTGGCTCCTGTCTAAATTGGCCCTAGTATGTGTATGTATGACTGTTAGTTAGGGACCTTAGATTGTACGCCCCTTGAGGGTTAGGGACTGATGTGAATGTTCAATATATATGTAAAGCGCTGCGCAAATTGATGGCGCTATATAATTATCTAAAATAAATAATAA